ATAGTCGACGTAATCGTGACAGCCCTAACAGCCTGTCACAAAAACACATCCCCAATTCTTAGTGAAAATAAAATAACAACAAGGTGATTCCCAAATTTTGCTACTTAACAACTAGAAAAGCCACAGGACCTGAGAGATGTCCCCAAGTCTTAGCCCTGTGACATACTGGTGTCCAGTATGTAAGTGGAAGAAAATCGCTGCATCTTTAAATCCCTGTTAATGTATATGGAGGAGGTCAGGAGAGAGATTTCATCACATTCCTTTTTTCATTCATGTTTAGTAAAATGTAATCAGTTGTCTGCATTTCTATTCATTTAATTTTTATTTTTTTTAAAAAATGAAGGCATCCGATCGAAGGAATGCATTTTTTTCCCCTAACTGAAACGATGAATACCTTTTAACAAGATGAGATAAACTTACCTGTGTCTCAGTCTCGGTGTTGTTCATCGCATATATGTTAATTGTAGCTCGGAGCATTTCAGTAAATCCATTCGTTTACCTGCTGGCAGGACCAACAGGTGAATGAGCTCGCACAGGAACTGGCAAACCATCTAGGACTGAAGATTCGAAAACCTTACGTCAGCACAAAGGTGTGTAAATGTTTAAATCTGGTTCATTGTGGGTTGTAGGACTTTGTCAGCCTTCAGCTTAGTCATAGTCAGACAGGACACAGTCATTTTACCCTTCATCTGACAGCGATTTATGTTCTTCTCTCCAGATGTCAGGCGGTAATGTAGAAAATGGTAATAGCGTTGCACCAGGTGGGAATTTTGACATTTGTGCCTCTGCTACTCTCTGTTCTTGATCATTTTGTACACAAACACAAGAATGGTCCAAGTAAATCCACTTCTGTTCCTTTTTAGTCAACTTCCCCAGCGTGCCTCAGTCCTCATTTCCTTCCACACCTACCAGCTGCAGCACACCTACTAACTCTGCAGTACCTGAAAGGGCGGGCACTATCGAGGACTCCGAGCTGATGGGAGATGACATAGACAGTCTGCTGGACTGTGTTTCTACTGAGCCGGAAACAGCTGAGGTAAACTCTTAAGTGCTGTGTTTTTTTTCCTTTCAGACCAGTGGACTAACTTTTGTTGCTGATGATGGAAGAAGATGTTTGTGTGATAAAAGTGCTGACATGTTTCATTTGAGTGAAAATCAGACAGTTTACTTCTTGTTTTGAGCAGCTCACCCAACAAAGGAAATTCTGTTTACCTTTTACCTCTTTCAAGGCAAAGTATGGTGAGTCCTTGATGAGGTCTGAGTGAAATACAACAATACTTAGAGATTAAAGAAGAGTCTACTGAACACAGGCATATTTCTGGAGGGTTTTTTTGGCAAAAGGAAGACCAAGAGTCCAGTAAGGACGTTTGGACATGAAAACAGTTTTGAAAATTGATTTGGAAACATTGTCTTTATGTGTTTGTTTTTTTTCACTATTGTGCATTAGCATAAACAAAAAAAGCTAGTTTTTCACAGAGTTGCATTGAGAACTATTTTGTTCTGAATAAATGTTTCACATACTGATGGAAGAAATAATTAGATCCCTTTTTAAAGTAGCCGGAATACAGTGTAAAAAATACCCTGTCATAAGTAACAGGCCTACTTAAAAAAGAAAGAAAGAAACAAACATGGACTGTATATAAAAGATGGATGTGGCCACCACGATGTCTGCTGTTTGTTTTGGAAGATTCAGTGTCAGTGGTTTTTCTTACAGACACACAAAATATCAACAGATCTCCCTAACTTTTGTTATTTGTAGTTATTTATGTCAGTACTGTTTAAAAATAATCTTGTTTTATTGTCACAACAAAACATGGATTATTAGTTTATGCTCTGCTTGGATTGGCAGGTTGTTGAGGATGTGTCATTCCAAACTTATTGCCAATACATTTGGAAAGTTGCAGAGTGCCCTCTGGTGGACAACATTGGCAATTATAACATGTTCGAAAGGTGTTTCTCAGAATCTTGTTGGGGGGTTTGTAGGTGCTGATGCTGATATACCAGCAAAAAGCTCATTTTTGTCCAATATATAATATATGTTTTGGTGAATATATTTGTTGGGCTGTAGTTAAGATATCTGCTAATGCTTGCAAGCCTCATCAATAAACTGCATGGGTGCAACTCCCAGGCACACATCTCCTAACTGGCCCATAGTAACAGGTTACTAAAATAGTATAATTTCACTCAGCTAAACATCTTGGATAGTTTGTATCACACAGTAGGATATATTATTCAACAAAAAATTCAATTTAAAATGCTCCAAAATGCATTAGAAGACACCAATCTGCTACAATCTCTGTGCCAGGATACCTGTCAATCAAAGCAAACCCCTTCTCTAACCTCCAGTATCTAGATGGGGAAGAAATTATATTTCAGGGGCAAGCAGGGCCACTTTATGCCTCCTTTTAAACCTTTTAAACACACCCCTGCTTGGAAGATTAGAAACAAGCTGTCAAAACAGTAGTAGTTGCTAACATAACTTGGGGACAGAAACGATGAAGTAAAACTAACAAGCTAATAGGCATGAAGGACTTTATAGAGTCAGGTGATTCCCCTCTGTGCATAGTGGTTTTATTGATCCATTACTTAGGCCAAAATATTGATTAATGCAGTATTGAATATGGGTTATTTACCAGCTGTGTCGGCCAGCATCCATTGTCATGTTTTGCTTATGTTTTTTACATCCTGCCTCCTTTCTTGACAGGACGTATTCTCAGTGCCCAGCGGGACATCCACTTGCACACAAAGAGGCCCATCTGTCCTGCCCGCACCGACACCCCAACTACCCCCGGCCTTTTTCAGCTCAGCCGTTAACCAACTCAACTCCTTGGACTCCTTTTCTGGTTCTGGGCTCGGCACCTCAGCTGCTACACTGGATATCCTAGACGACCTCTCGACCTCTGAAAAAGGTGGTGTTGCAGATGCTTCAAACTTACTACTGACCCCTACGAAGCTGGACGGTCTGGATTCCCTCGATTCTCTCGATGACGCCTTGGATAAGATGCCGAAGGCTGCTGCTGCTGAAGAAGTTATCGAGGCCAAAACAGAGCTGGATGTAGGAGAAAAGTCTCTTGATGAGCTGCTAGATGAACTAGATCCCTTAGAGACACTC